TGGAAAATCAAAGTCTACTTCTCATTTTAAAGCACAAAAATTATATTTTCTGAATGTAAGTAAAACACATAATAATCGGAAAAAAAACAAATCCTTTGCAAAGAATCAAAAGTGGATAGCTCAGTTGGTTAGAGTGTGGTGCTGATATGGCCAAGGTTTCAGGTTGATCCCCATATGGAGAGCTGCATATTCCTGCATTGCAGGAGGTTGGACTAACTGATCCTCGGGGTCCTTTCCAACTCTACAGTTCTATGATATTAAGATACGTTAAAATGTGACATAATCTCAGTAACGGATAAAACATTAATAAATATTGCAAGAAGAACACCACACATTATGCAATCATCAAAGTCATTCACTTCCACATTCAAGCTCCACAGAGCTACATATCTGCAATAGGCAGATAGCTAATAGTAAGAATCAATTATTTCCCTTATTCTGTAATTTTTATATGCCTGTTGTCTTTGTGCATGGAGTTTTCTTGGCAGGGATACTGGAGTGGCCTGCCAGTTCCTGCTCCAGGTAGATCACATTTGGTCCAAACTCTCCACTATGACCTCTCCATCTTGGGTTTCCCTGCCCCTTTGCCACAACAAGGCAGTGATCCATGAAGGAGAGTCCCATGGACTGCAAGAATATCAAACCTATCCATTCTGAAGGAAATCAGCCCTGAGTGCTGACTGGAAGGACAGATCCTGAAGCTGAGGCTCCAATACTTTGGCCACCTCATGAGAAGAGAAGACTCCCTGGAAAAGACCCTGATGTTGGGAAAGATTGAGGAAACAAGGAGAAGGGAACGACAGAGGACGAGATGGTTGGACAGCGTTCTCGAAGCTACGAACATGAGTTTGACCAAGCTGAGGGCGGCAGTGGAAGACAGGAGTGCCTGGCGTGCTCTGGTCCATGAGGTCACGAAGAATCGGACACAACTAAACAACAACATTCAGTAATTTGAATCAAGACCCAATTTTGTATAAATAAATCCAGACCTGACCTGGATCCAGATCATTATTTCAAAGAAGTCTGGGATAGATCAGTGGGTAGAGCTTAAGACCCCTAATCTCACAGTCGTGGGTTTGAGCCCCACATTGGGCAAAATATTACTGCCTTGTATATGACTGTCCTATAACATACATTCTTTGGGAAATTGCACACAAGCACACAAAGAAACATATTAAAATATGATATTAAGCAATATGAACTTTTTAAAAAACACACACAAACAAACCACAATGAAAGTAAGGGACAGACCATAAGACATGGGACATAAGTTAAAGATCTAGCTGAGAAGAAAGTAATTTGCCAAGCGTTGAAAAGATCACAAAGATGTAACAGAAGCACAGCATTTAAAAGCCCCCACTCCCTCTTCATTTACCCATCTTTCTTCATGTTTTCTCATCAACTGCTGTCATTCTCTGGTTGCTATTCGGGGCTGAGATATTTCATGAAGCAAAAAGAACTGATGGTAGATCACGCATTTCCTAGATCTTTTCCTTCACTTTGCCTTATTCATTGTTAATGTATCTCTCAATACTGTGACATGAATGTCATACCAGTAATGCATACCCCTTATCAGAACAACAAAATCAGATCTATTTTAAAATCATAAACTGTTTGCCAATAAAACTATTGTCCTATGAATAATTTTAGGCTGAAAGTGAAAATGTGAGTTTTCCAGTTTGTGGCTTGTAATGGAAGGTGCATAGCAGTGACTGCTCAAGCCTTATTACGAAAATAATCTTTTGCAAACACAAGCTACTGTACACAGAGAATGTATGGAGAATGAGATGAGTTCTGTACAGCAATTAAATGTCACAACACTGTGAATCTCCCTGAGCTCAAAGAGCATATGACATTCATCTGGTCCTTTGAGAGTCTTGGCCAGTCCCCATACCTTGGCATCCCAGCACATCCTTTGATATATCAACCTTCTTTATTGCTTTATTTCTGGGACTAACAGCACAATTCTCTGTGTGTGACAAATAATAAAAATAAAAAAGCTCTGTGGGTTTCAGTAGGATGTACTCTCAGGGACGGAGATGGTCTTAACCCATTGGGAATAGAAACATTGCACATTATGATCATTTGTTGCAATTTTGCAGGAGGAAATATTTCGTGAATGTGGTTTTGACATTAGTTTTGGGCACATCAGATGCTGCTTTCCCCATCAAACTGTGCACCACTCTGTGAGGTCTTACCTGCAAAAAAATATTATGAAGTAAGATAAAGTGTCCACATATCAAAATAATATATATACCTGTTAAAGACAGTAAATTTTCAAGTGGTATTTTTACTATTATTTTACATTAAAATCCAGATTAGAATGATATTCTCTGTGTGTGCCCCTCAATTATGCAATGGATTTAAGGCTTGATGCTAAATGGTATAAAAGTATATTAGGGGGGGAATACTCCCACGTTGTCAAACTTTCTGTAGTTATAAGAGGCAGCCTAGATTTCTTCCCATTCCATAAAATAGAAGTCACCAACTTCTGCCATCCCCCCCCAACTTCCACAATTTATTGATTGCAACTTCAAATGCACACAAACATACAAAACTTTTGCGATTATGTTTAGTCTTAGAATTTAGAATTAGCCATTCTGCCTCTCCAATGGTTTCTAATTCATCCCCTTGTAAGGTCTTTATTTATTGTTTTTTATAAGAAATATGGATAGCTTGAAAATGTTATTCATAGGGGCTGTTAAATAAATCCCAAGGGTTATAATTATATGTGCAACTGTTCTTTGTGCAAGAAACGTTGGATGGTGCTGCAGAACTTTTCCTGCTTCTCCTTCCTCCCAGCAGCTCCCTGTAAACACTCAAAATCTGCTGAAAACCTGAAGAACATATTTTGGTAGTATGAAGTGTGGGGAGAGGTAGGAGAACTCCAGGTGCATGAGTAGAGCTCCATTCATATACCTCAATATATTTAAGACTTATATATGTCCACCAAACCCCTGTTGTTTTGTTATGCCATTTTTTATATTTTCTTTGACAGATTTATGCACATCATTTCTGATTGAACATATACCCAGAAACATTTCTATATAAGCAAATTTATTTGGTAAGGGGGGCAAAGCTGTGTAGAAGAGGAGACTTTCAATATGTGACTCTCTCCAGTCTTTGATAAGATAAATTGCAAGTAAAAAATTTGTGGTCTTCCAACTGCTGTTGGACTGCAACTCCCATTAGCCCCAGAAAACATGGCCAGTAACAGATATTGTATACACAATATGGTTAGCATGGGTGTTTGGTATAACACAAAGTGGATGTCGTAAGTGGAGCAGATGCCTTCAGGTGAAAACAAACAAACAAACAAACAACACACAATACACAATACACAACAAACAAAAACCAGCAACCAAGGTATCATGTGTCTGAGTCAGAGGGAAAAGATGTGGGGAGGTTTAATGAGTCTCTAATTCTATGACTGCTTTTGAATTATGGTGCTGGAGGAGACTTTTGAGATTCTCATGGACCTCAAGATCAAACCTATCCATTCTGAAGGAAATCAGCCCTCAGTGCTCACCGGAAGGACAGATCCTGAAGCTGAGGCTACAATACTTTGGCCACCTCATGTGAAGAGGTGGCCACCTCCATGGAAAAGACCCTGATGTTGAGAAAGATTGAGGGCATAAGGAGAAGGGGACGACAGAGGACGGGATGGTTGGACAGTGTACTCGAAGCTACAAACATGAGTTTGACCAAGCTGCGGGAGGCAGTGGAAGACAGGAGTGCCTGGCGTGCTCTGGTCCATGCGGTCACAAAGAGTTGGACACAACTAAATGACTAAACAGCAACAACAATTCTAAGACCTTGGGGGCAGAGGTATGCACTGGGGGATAGGAAAAATCATCAGAGGAGAGGGGAAGGTAGATACTTAATGTTGGTCACTGGTGCTGAGCCCCCATCCCATAAAGACTTAAGTAGCCTGTGCTCTCATCTTGTAGTGCTGTTAATGTTTTCTCTGGGAGGTTGTGGATTCTCCTTCACTGGAGATTTTTTAGCAGAGGTTGGATGGCCATCTGTCATAAATGCTTTAGTTTAGATTTCTGTATTGCAGGGGGTAGGACTACATACCCCTCAGGGTCCCTTCCAACCCTATCATTCTGTGATTCTATGACAGGCACAACCTCTAGTGCAGTATTGAGGGATGATGTCAGCAGTCAAACACCAGAAGGTATGATGCAATAGTTATGGTGCCTGATCTAACATGTTGATTAGCTTGTCCTCTGATTTGTAAAATTAAATTTCATTTTTTAAAAAAATTCTTGCCAATAGAAAACTCCTACCTGGGCTCAGACAATAACTGGAATTATGTTACAAATGAAACCCCATAAGTGATGAAAAACAGGCACTGTGATTAGTTCCACACCATTATTTACTGGATCAGCTCCCCACACCCATACATAAACATTCTTACAATTATGTCATTCAATGCAATTTATTACATAGATTATTTCATTCTTCTTATTAAGTTTTTTTATTAAGGTTTTTTTTTTAATTCTATACCATGGACTCACTGAAAAGATGTATGTAAATACAGGAAAACATAAAATACTTTAAAAATAGAACATAAGCGTAAGGCTGACTGGGACATTAAACAAAGAGATTTGTGTGATTTTCAATAAAAAAATAGCATTGACCAATTTCTTTGGAGGGGATGATTGAAACATTTATTTCAGCGTTGTTGTTTTTTAAAAATAGTTACTAACAAATTCAGATTAGAACAGGCCTAATAATGCCACGATCACTTCAAATTGAGAACGAAAGACTATTTAAGGATGTGTGTTATAATAAAATATGAATTTAAATGTGTTTTTAATTGTCATCTATATTTTTTATGCCAATTTCTTTTTCTTCGGGGGGGGGGACCCTAAAACTGTCATGCAATGGAAACAGACAAATCAGCACATCCAATTCAGCGACGGAACTTTCTATCACCTACCAAAAAACAGATGCTAGAGAAAATCACATTGTTGCTTCTTTTTCACATTAATTCACTTCACGAGAATTGCTTTGCACGATACAAGTTTACCAATTTTATTTCTCAGGGCATCTTTGACCTCCTTATTTCTCAGGCTGTATATAAATGGGTTGGCAAGAGGCGGCAAAACTGTGTACAGCAGAGAGGAAAGTTTTTGCATCTCCTTGTTGGCTTCACCCTTTGGTAACATGTACACAATCATTAGCGAACTATAAAAAATTGAAACTACAATCAAGTGAGAGGAACAGGTGGAAAAGGCCTTTTGTTTCCCAGTGGCGGAGGGTATTCTTAAGATGGCGGCAATAATATATGAATAGGATGTTAAAGTTAGAACAAAAGGAGGAACTGTGAATATGGCAGCCACAGCGAAACCCATATTTTCCACCAAGCTGGTGTTGCTGCAAGAGAGTTTAAGAAGAGGGAAGTAGTCACAAAAGTAATGATCCATTTCCCTGGCGCCTGAAAATGATAACTGTAGCACCAGAATGAATAATATAGAAAACCCTATAAAGCCATTGAGCCAAGATGCAGCGACTAAATTGATACAAGTATTGGTTTTCATAGTAGTTGCATAATGCAATGGTTTGCAGATTGCTAGATACCTGTCATAAGACATCACACAGAGTAAACAGCATTCTGTAGCTTCCAAAGAACCAAAGAGATACCACTGTGTGAAGCAGCTGTTGAAGGAAATTGTTCTGTCTCTAGTCAGGAGAGCTGAAAGCATCCTTGGAAATATATTGGAGCTGTAACAAGCCTCCAAGAAGGAAAGATTCCCAAGAAAGAAGTACATGGGAGTATGTAGATGGTGATCAGTGACAACAAGGACAACAATCAAAGTGTTCCCAGTTATGGTCACCATGTAAATGACTAGAAATGTCAGGAAAAGAAGTGTCTGCAATTCATAGAATTCCCCAAATCCGAGGAGGATAAATTCTGTAATTGTTGTCTGGTTTCTCAACATTGAGCAGAATGAAATCCTGTTGAAAAGAGAAATGGATAAGTATCTATACAGAGACAGGGAGCTAATTTATATTCTGCTTCATGTTTCTCCAGAAATCTCCAAGTGGTTTACAAATCTCAACAGAAATGAATCAATTTTAGAAATAAAATAGCAAATGCGCATGGAAAATCAAAGTCTACTTCTCATTTTAAAGCACAAAAATTATATTTCTAAAATGTAAGTAAAACATATAATAATCGGGGGGGGGGACAAATCCTTTGCAAAGAATCAAAAGTGGATAGCTCAGTTGGTTAGAGTGTGGTGCTGACAAGGCCAAGGTTTCAGGGAGAGCTGCATATTCCTGCATTGCAGGAGGTTGGACTAACTGATCCTCAAGTTCTTTTCCTACTCTACAATTTATTTATTTTTTATTATTATTCCATGGTTGTGATCAGAGATTACAAATAGACCTCCTATATTCACAGACCTCAACAGGAGTTTTCCTCCCAGGTGTCATGGTTTTGCATTTGCTGAAGTGGACTCTAGTCCATGCCAGCTTCTTCCATAATAATTAGTTGGCCCTTAACATTTTGCAGAAATGTTTTTTTATTATTGTTGCCGCGACAGAGTGACATAGCTACAGCTCAGGAAGATTATTTTGTGGGGCATGTTTATTTCATAGGCTAGTCCATTATTTCTATTCATTGCTCTGAAGGAACTTATAGGAACTTGGCTGTCTTATGACACAAGTTGCCTGGGCAACTCAGAGGAAGTAAAAAATACTTCAGAATTTTATGGACAAAGAGACACAAAGATTTCAGTGAACGCAAAGCTCTCTGCTAGGCACTTAACATATTACTACTATGATGCCAGGTGAGCCCCTCTCTAGAAAAACTGTTCCAAAGCTGATAGATCACCCTTGAAAAGGTCCCACTCTCTGATGGTTACTCACCTCTCTTTAATTTATGTTCTCACAATGGTTTCATTCTGTTGCTGTTTTCTCCATGCTAATATACACTGTCATGACAAACAACCAGTTCCCAGATCCTTCTCTTCATCTCATCACACTCAATGCTAGTGTAAATGTCAGTTCTATGGCATGAATGCTATCCCAATAATACAAAGTTGGGATATGTGTACTCTAGGATGTTGGTTTTATTAAGAGAAATACAGAAGTGATGGCTCAATCATCAGGGACATAATATACTGCAAAAACAAGCAATGCGGCAATGTATTGGCTAGGGAGTGAGGGAATTCAGTGCAGCAAATTAAAGGACAGAACACTGTGTACCCCTCTGAGCCCAAAAAGCATATGACAACCCTCTGGTCCTTTTGAGAGTCTGTACCTATCTTTTTATACTGCAACTTCAGGGAATCAGTTGGTCAACTTGATTAGATTTTCACCTTTATCGCTGGGAGTGCATGCCTACCTTGAAAAATAACTTCTTTGGAGTTCAAAACTCCTAGGGAGCAGGTAAAAGGTAAAGGGACCCCTGACCATTAGGTCCAGTTGTGACCGACTCTGGGGTTGCGGCACTCATCTCGCTTTACTGGCCAAGGGAGCCGGCGTACGGCTTCCGGGTCATGTGGCCAGCATGACTAAGCCGCTTCTGGTGAACCAGAGCAGCACACGGAAACGGCGTTTACCTTCCCGCCAGAGCGGTACCTATTTATCTACTTGCACTTTGATGTGCTTTCGAACTGCTAGGTTGGCAGGACCAGGGACCGAGCAACGGGAGCTCACCCCGTTGTGAGGATTTGAACCGCCAACCTTCTGATCGGCAAGTCCTAGGCTCTGTGGTTTAACCCACAGCGCCACCCGCACCCCTTAGGGAGCAGGTAGGAATTCCTTATCATTGACTTGGCATCCCATTTGGGAGTTATTGTGCATTTTTGTAATCTGCTATGGGATATGCCTTCCATCTGTAAATTGGGAGGAGGGATCCTGCATAAATTCAGTCTTAATAGTACTTCTAGACATATTAGAAGCAGCTTTCCCCATCATAATAAGCACTGCTCCAGGAGGTCTTGTCCCTAACAATACTATAAAGTAGCTTTGAAGGATAGGATACCAAAAGTAGATTTACGCACATATATGTAGGAATATCAGTTTATTTCCATATGATTGCCCCGTGTTTCACCACCAAAACAAAATCTAATGTAATTATCAATTGGAAATATATTTACAACTTTCAAGCCCCTCTTTTCTAGCTCCCATTCTTGGTACTGGGATTCTCCATGATGAAATTATACCAGGTTCATCAACCATTTTAGTCCAGTGGGCACAGTTGGGCTTTTGAGAAAATGTTGTTTCTGGCAGTAACAAGTATTATATACACAAGATGGCCATCTTGTGTATGGAGGCTTGGCATAACACAAAGTGGATGCCATAAGTGAAGCAGATGACTTCAGGTGAAGAAAACAAAACACAAAACACAATACACGAACAAACAAAAACCAGCAACCAAGGTGTCTGAGTCAGAGGGGAAAGATGTGGGGAGGTTTAAGGAGTCTCTAATTTTATGGCCTTGGGGAGCAGAGGTATGCACTGGGGGAGAGGGAAAATTATCAGAGGAGAGGGGGAGGTAGATGATGTTGGTCATTGGTGCTGCGCCACCACCCCATAGAGACTTAAGTAGCCTGTGTTCTCATCTAGTGGTGGTGTTAATGTCATGTCAGTGCCCAAAACAAAACTCTCATCCATATGGTGACTGACTTGGTGTCCATTACCAAAACCTGACTGGGTAAGCTGGCAATAGGAGGAGATTGACCGTGCCTAGCTGTGCCCACCTGAATGGTAGTACTGCACCAGTCAAAGCAGGAGTTTCTGGATGTATGGGATCTTATGATGTAATAATGAAAACAATATAAACAAATTTAAGACTAGCTGTGAGGGGATGTTAAAGATAAGTATCAATATAGTCAGTGCTTTAGGGGGGCAACGCAGAGGTATGTATACCCCTACACATTTTGTGAATCTAAGTTTGGCCTCATTGAAGGGCAGTGTTTCAATATGAGTAGGAAAATGAGAGTACCCCTAAACATTTTTTATTAAAAAAAGCACTGAATATAGTTGTATAAAGAAGAGTACAGTGGTGCCTCGCAAGACGAAATTAATTCGTTCAGCAAGTTTTTTCTTCTTGCGAGTTTTTCGTCTTGCGATGCACGGTTTCCCATAGGAATGCATTGAAAATCAATTAATGCGTTCCTAGGGAAACCGACTTCAGACCAGGTCCGGGGACAGTCTGTCCCCCGACCTCTTCTGAAGGCTGGGGGGGGGACAAGGGCTTTTCTTCCCACCCCCAGCATTTTAAAAAACCCCGGGACAGCGGAGGGCTTCTCCGCTGTCCGGGGCGATCTTAAAATGCTGGCAGGCGGCATTTTAAAATCGCCCCGGGACAGCGGAGGACTTCTCCGCTGTCCGGGGCGATTTAAAAGCCCCTGGGAAGGCAGGCAGGGGGGACAAAGACTTTTGCCCCCGCCAGCCTTCAGAAGAGGTCCAGGACCTCTTCTGAAGGCTGGCGGGGGCGAAAGTCTTTGCTCCCCCCGCCTGCCTTCAAAAGCTGTCCGGCCAAAGCTTCGCGGACCTCTGCCAGCATGCCGAAGCCTGCGCGCGCTGACATCAGCGCGCCCAGGCTTCACGCACCGCTCCGCCAGCAGCGGCAGAGTTGCTGCTGCTGGCGGAGACTTGCCGGCATGCCGAAGCCTGCGCGCGCTAACATCAGCGCGCCCAGGCTTCGCGGACCGCTCCGCCAGCAGCGGCAACGCTGCTGCTGCTGGCGGAGACTTGCCGGCATGCCGAAGCCTGCGCGCGCTAACATCAGCGCGCCCAGGCTTCGCGGACCGCTCCGCCAGCAGCGGCAACGCTGCTGCTGCTGGCGGAGACTTGCCGGCATGCCGAAGCCTGCGCGCGCTAACATCAGCGCGCCCAGGCTTCGCGGACCGCTCCGCCAGCAGCGGCAACGCTGCTGCTGCTGGCGGAGACTTGCCGGCATGCCGAAGCCTGCGCGCGCTAACATCAGCGCGCCCAGGCTTCGCGCACCGCTCCGCCAGCAGCGGCAACGCTGCTGCTGCTGGCGGAGACTTGCCGGCATGCCGAAGCCTGCGCGCGCTAACATCAGCGCGCCCAGGCTTCGCGCACCGCTCCGCCAGCAGCGGCAGGGTTGCTGCTGCTGGCGGAGACTTGCCGGCATGCCGAAGCCTGCGCGCGCTAACATCAGCGCGCCCAGGCTTCGCGCACCGCTCCGCCAGCAGCGGCAGGGTTGCTGCTGCTGGCGGAGACTTGCCGGCATGCCGAAGCCTGCGCGCGCTAACATCAGCGCGCCCAGGCTTCGCGGACCGCTCCGCCAGCAGCGGCAACGCTGCTGCTGCTGGCGGAGACTTGCCGGCATGCTGAAGCCTGCGCGCGCTAACATCAGCGCGCCCAGGCTTCGCGCACCGCTCCGCCAGCAGCGGCAACGCTGCTGCTGCTGGCGGAGACTTGCCGGCATGCCGAAGCCTGCGGGCACTGACATCAGCGCGCCCAGGCTTCGCGGACCTCTCCTGCCTTCAAAAGCCGTCCGGGATAGCGGGAAGCGCTTCCCTGCTATCCCGGACTGCTTTTAAAATGCTGGCGCTGGGAGCAAAGCCTTTCGGCCCCCGCCAGCCTTCCTGGACCTCTTCTGAAGGCCGGAGGGGGGGGGAAAGGCTTTGCTCCCCACCGCTAGCATTTAAAAGAGGTCCCCGGAGATTTCCCTATGGGCTTTCGTCTTGCGAAGCAAGCCCATAGGGAAATTCGTTTTGCGAAGCGCCTCCAAAACGGAAAACCCTTTCGTCTAGCGGGTTTTCCGTCTTGCGAGGCGTTCGTCTTGCGGGGTACCACTGTATACTTTCTTTTTTATAATTAATTTTTATTGAAAGTTTTCAACACAGAATACAATAAAAGCCACACTAGCCTAAATAAAAATAAATCTAAATAAAAATAAATCTTAATCCTTATTCTACACAAAGGAGGGTAAGCCCTCTCAGCTCTCACTTGGGAGTTTCTCCCTCTTCCCCCCACCCTGGGAAATACGCCCTACCCTGCCCCTCACATAGGGCCAAAAAGGCTATGTTTTCTATTGATTGGGCTTTATCTGTAAGCGTGTAAAGGAGCAGAACAATAGATTGTAATATTCATTTTATGTATATGTATTAGAGCTAACAGATAAAAAATAATTAACCCTAGCACAAGAAGAAAACTATTCAGTATTTTGAAACATCAGCAAAGTTTAGGGGTGAATCTGAATTGTGTTTGGTCCACAACGTAAGCAAAAAATTCACAATTTCCAGAGTAACACAGTGATTAGAATGTAGTTGGATATTACCCTTCTCCAAACGTTTCAGTGCATGTCTTGGATTGAAAACCATACCAAAATGTGTAAAAATGTGTATATTAGAATAGAGTGTGTCTAGAAATATGTGAGATAAAAGATTAATTTAAATATCTACCTAGTTGAGCATTTAATATGAATTTTCATACCTTTATTTTACAGATCAATGGAAACAAGTTGGAATGGGTTTATGAATGTAAACATTTGAAACTGACTTGAAGTGGAAATAGATGAATCAGCTGATCCCTATCAGAGTCTGAAATCTGTGTCATCCACCATAAGGAAAGTTCTGGGAGCAGCATGGAGACAACACATAGCATGTTGCTTCTATCACATATGACCACACTTCATGTGCCTTCCTTTGTGTAGCACAAACCTACCAATATTATTTCTCAGGGCATTTTTGACCTCCTTGTTTCTCAGGCTATATATAAATGGGTTGGCCAAAGGGGGCAAAGCTGTGTACAAGAGAGAAGAAATCTTTCGCATCTCTCTGTTGACTTCAGCCTTGGGTAACAAATACAAAATCATTAGTGAACCATAAAATATGGATACCACAACCAAGTGAGAGGAGCATGTAGAAAAGGCCTTTTGCCTCCCAGTGGAAGAAGGGATTTTCAAGATGGCAACAATTATATATACATAAGAGGTTAACGTTAAAAGAAAGGGAGGGAGTATGAATATGGCACTCACAAGAAAGCCCAACATTTCCATCAAACTGGTGTCACTGCAAGAGAGCTTAAGGAGCGGGAAGTAGTCACAAAAGTAATGATTAATTTCATTCGGGCCACAGAATGTTAACTGTAGCATCAGAATGAGCAATATCAGGAAGGCTATAAATCCATTGGACCAAGATGCAGCTGCTAATTGGATACAAGTCTGGGTGCTCATCATTGTAAAATAATGCAGTGGCTTGCAGATTGCTAGATACCTGTCATACGACATCACACAAAGTAAACAGCATTCTGTAGCTATTAGGGATCCACAGAGATACCATTGCATTAAACAGCCGGTGAAAGAAATCCTCCTATCTCCAGTCAAGAGAGCTGGTAGCATCCTTGGAAATAAATTGGAGCAATAGCATGTCTCCAGGAAGGAGAGATTCCCCAAAAAGAAATACATTGGGGTATGAAGATGCTGATCAAAAACAACCAGGACAACAATGAGAATGTTTCCAGCCATCATCACAACATAAATCACTAGAAATGCCAGGAAGAGAAGTGTCTGCACTTCGTAGAATTCCCCAAATCCCAGGAGGATGAATTCTGTAATCTCTGTCTGGTTTTCAAACGTCATCTAATAGGAAAAAAGTCAAATCCTATTGAAAAGAGCAATTTTTATTAATGAAATAATGGATGAGTGCCATGCTAACATTAATGCAATATGTTTGAGAGCTGATGTTGTCACACAAGCATTGCTACTGACTATAATAACAATTTTGGGATTGTGCAACATTTTTCAAAAGTACAAGACATCCACTGAATTTGACTGTTGTGCTTTGCCAGCAAAACAGCTTTTCCCACAACTGGGTATCACTCATTTTCATAGGCACACTGAAACATTATATTAACAGGTAGTGAGAAGCTGATGTAAGGATCAATGGAGAAAACATTGGTTGAAGGCACTTGACCTAATCTGTTTTCATATTCACCTTACCATGATCATGATGCATGCTCAGAATCCCATGGTAGGTAGGGATGGAGGAAGGAAGAATCACCCTGTTGCTTCTTAAGCTTAGGTTTTGGTCTGTTGTAGCAATGCACTGGGAAATTCACAGTACATATGTGAATATGAGGAATTATATTAAAAATAAATGTTTTTCAAAAAATTGGAAACTAATGAAGTACTTTTCTGTAACATAATATCCTGTGGTATTGATGTCCTGTGGTATTGTAGATTTATTTATTTATTTGAAATCCTAATAATAATAATAATAATAATAATAATAATAATAATTTATTATTTATACCCCGCCCATCTGGCTGGGTTTCCCCAACCACTCTGGGCAGCTTCCAACAAAACACTAAAATACAATAACCTATTAAACATTAAAAGCTTCCCTAAACAGGGCTGCCATTAGATGTCTTCTAAAAGTTATTTTTCTCTTTGACATCTGGTGGGAGGGTGTTCCACAGAGTGGGTGCCACTACTGAGAAGGCCCTCTGCCTGGTTCGCTGTAATTTGGCTTCTTGCAGCGAGGGAACCACCAGAAGGCCCTCGGTGCTGGACCTCAGTGTCTGGGCAGAACGATGGAGGTGGAGACGCTCCTTCAGGTATACTGGACCGAGGCCATTTAGGGTTTTAAAGGTCAGCACCAACACTTTGAATTGTGCTTGGAAACGTACTGGGAGCCAGTGTAGGTCTTTCAAGACCGGTGTTATATGGTCTTGGCAGCCACTCCCAGTCACCAGTCTAGCTGCCTCATTCTGGATTAGTTGTAGTTTCCGGGTCACCTTCAAAGGTAGCCCCACATAGAGCGCATTGCAGTAGTCCAAGCGAGAGATAACCAGAGCATGTACCACTCTGGCGAGACAGTCTGCGGTCAGGTAGGATCTCAGCCTGCGTATCAGATGGAGCAGATAAACAGCTGCCCTGGACACAGAATTGACTTTATTTATATGGATTTCATATCATTAAAAAAAACCCTAGAGCTCTCAGTACAGTGGTACCTCGTGTTATGGAAGGGATCTATTCCAGAGGCCCGTCCGTAACGTGAAATGCCCACAACTTGAAGCACTGCGTCTGCGCAGGTGCGCAGCACGATTTGGCACTTCTGTGCATGCGTGAGCAGCGAAACCCGGAAGTAACCCGTTCCTGTACTTCCGGGTTGCTGCGGGACATAATGTGAAAAGACACAACATGAAGCGGATGCAACACAAGGCATGACTGTACTACTCTTTTAATCTCCTTGCTGAGTTCAGTTGGAATCAATTATCAACACCATATGAATGGTGAATTAATATTATGAATAGGAAGAAAACAAAAGGTAAGTTCAATGATACCTTATACAAGTGAGTCACTTTGGGTTGCCCTGGGCAAGATAAAGCAAAATAACAACAACAACAACAACAACAACAACACAATAATAATGGCAGGACAGCTTTGTCACTTTCTCTAAGAAATTGTTTGAAATATGTGAGCTGAAAACACAGCCAAACTTTAATATGCAGCACACAAAGCAAAATGTAGATATTAAGGAGAAATATGAATAAATAAAAATGCACATATCAGTGAAAATATCATGCAAAATGCATTATAATTGAGAAAATTGTTTGCAAAGTTACACATCTCTGTCAGGAATGCAGACAAAAATGCACAAAAGTGCTGATGAATTTTCATGGGGTCTTTTGTTTATTTTTCAAATATTGAAAATCATTCAAACTGATACAAAAATTTGGAGAACTGTTAAGACTAGAAAAGTGATAACTTTGTATATGCCTAAAAGTAATAAATGTTTACCTTTCTGGTGAGATTTCTCAGTGCTATTTTACTGATCCATAAGTTCCCTGCTTATTGTGAACAGAAGAAAACATTATAAGGTCCTTTGCTTCTCCTGAAGTCATCTAATAGCATTGCCACTTTCACTATCGGGAATTGTGCATGTCTACATATGTAAAGCAGTTTTGTTGCCCTGTGCTGTTCTAGATTACAAGGTGTCTTCAGGTGTTTTTATGTGAAAGAAATCATAATTTACTCCCTCCACTTCTAATTACCAGAACAACAAACACTTTTACGGACACAAATTTTAAGTGTGTAAGTGTGTTTAAAAATGCTGTCCTTACGAGAATACGATGGCAGAATATGGCGCTCCCAGGATGTTGGTGTTATTAAGGGACAGAGCCATCTGGGAAACAATATCTTTCAACACACTTACAAAACCCCAGAGCAATAATAATGTAATGGAAAATGGAAAGTTTCTCAAGCACTGGTTTTTTATTGCCACTAAAACAGATGTGTGGGTATGAGCCTTTGAGAAACCTACCAGAGCAGGATAAGAATCCTATGTTGAGTAAACAAGCTTGACAGAGGATGCCCTAAGCGATTAGTGGGTAATAGCTTAAGTAAAGCTTCACAAACATTACAAGCGGACTTTTCAAGAAAAAGAGCCCAGGTACCTTCTAGCTATTTAAATTGACATTTAATATTCAATAACATCACAAACAACGTACAGGGTAGCTTAAAGAAACACTGGCATGTTGAACACCACATATCTGGCTGTCAGGATTAGCCAATTAAGCTATTCAAAAGAACCAAGAACATACTGGCAAGAAGTGAATTTAGAGACCATAGGATGACCTTTCCCAATAGCTTATCAGAAACAGGTGCACCAAAAGGAGAACAATGTCTGTGAACACTGTGCTCATTTGAGGTACAAAATGTGGGAGGATTTGAAGACCACTCAAACCTACAAAAACACTTCATGGCCTGTGTACTATATTCTATTAAAAGCGACTGCCAACAAAATTATATGGAGAAATGATCTAGGGACATTCAAAGAACGAATTAGGGGAACATATCTGTTAGTATTTTTCGCTCCATAAGACGCACCTGACCATAAGATGCACCTAGTTTTTAGAGGAGGAAAACAAGAAAAAAATATTCTGAATGAAACAGTGGATGTATGATTTTTGTGGTTCATGCTGTGGCCACAGACATGTGATTTGACGGTGAGTTTGGGGTAGCCCAATGCAAAAATCCTGAGAATCCATTTGGATCTGTGCTTTGTAACCACATTTTTGCACCATTGCAGACCCAGGAAACAGTGGATGCTTGCTTTTTTTGGTGCAGGCTGTAGCCATGGACATGCTATGTGATCTGATGGTGAATTTGGGGTGACCCAATGTAAAAATCCTGAGGATCCATGGGCTTTTACTCCCCCCCCCGGCAGCCTCCTTTATCACATCCATTATCTCTCTCCCAATCCCACTTATCGGCTGCTTCCTTTGAACGCTCCCTTCCCTCTTGTTTGCTTTAGTGTCTTTTCCTTAGCTGGAGCAGTTTTTTGCTCCTCCTTTTCTTCTAATTTCTCTCCTCATTGATTTATCCCTAGAGTGCCTTATCTCCCTCCCTTATGGCTTGCCAATCAGCTGTTCAGCGGCTTTGTTTCAACACCAACTTCCCTCTTTAAAAAAAAAAAAAGCATGATCTGCTTTTTGCCCCATGGCAATTCGGCTCCAGGGACCACACATTCGCTCCATAAGACACACAGACATTTCCCCTTACTTTTTAGGAAGAAAAAGGTGTGCCTTATGGAGCAAAAAATACAGTATATGTAAAAAAAAGCAACAACAAAAACCACGGCCAAACCAGTCAATTTATGAAACAAAATTATTCTGTAAATGCTTTAAGGTTTGGGCCTCTAGAAAAAGGTGCATAAAATGATAATGGGGAAAGCGGGGCAGATCGATGCAGAAAAATTCAATCTCATATTTTATGTAACAAAAATGAGTCAAATAAAAAAAATGCTTTATGCATGGCATAACTAATCAATGTTATAATATCAATCAAAAGAACCATTAAAGTTAGAGGATAAAGAGAATATAATGACTTGCGTAAACAATGGGTTTTGTATCATTTTGCCCCACCTACAGAGCACTTAGATACATTGGATGAGGCACTTTGATACAAAGCGTAAATTGTATGAGAATGGTAATTATTTACAAAAATATAATTTAAAAAAACAATTTTTACTGTGAGAGATCATAATCAGCCTTACAATTTGTTACTTAAAATCTAAATTAAGTATCAAAACTAACTGTCTCACACATATCACAGACTCTATGGCAGGTTTTCTTAACAAAACATCAAAACAAAATATAAGCCACACCCAAATATAAGCTACATCTTTAAAATTCAAGGGGGGGGGACAATATCCAAATATAAGTTGCTCCCTTAAAATTCCGCAGGCACTCACAGCCATTCCTTTTTATCGTATGTCTGTAATATCATAAAAGCCAATTTTTGTAAGGTCATGAATTTAAGTTGCAGTTTAACTTTTCATGGACGGAATTTGGGGGAAAAGCGAGGCTTATAGGCCAAGACAGGAGATATATATATATATATATATATGCTTTCGTAGATTTTCACGGGTACAGGAATGCAGGTTTTGGTGTCCTCGGGTGTCTTCCCGTGTAAAAGTTGGGGTGTCTAGGCGACGTTTCGACGAGGTCTCACTCGTCATCTTCAGGCTGGTGCTTTCGGCTTCTTGTTACTGGAACAGAGCGGGATCTCAGTGTTTGAGTTCCTATAAATACTGTTGAGGAGGTGTGGTGTATAGCCTCCAATGTTCTGGGCAG